TTCAGATATTAAACACTGATTACTTAGTGAACATTTTACATTTTATTAGTTTTCATGGGGCAAACAAAATAAAATAGAACTAAAATTGACATCTTATAGAGTGCTGTATGTCAATTATATCAAACTGGAAAAAGAAAAGATGTGTGTGAAGTAGGCTTCTCAATAAAACTTTTCATATCCTGACAAAAAAATCTGAATCTCCAACTAGAAATTCACGTAGAAAGGAAAGGAGGGCAAATCCTTCACATAACCAAGGTTAAGCAATACCTGTTCATTATTATCCTTTTAATTCACATCATCTTTGATTCCTAATCTCATGTGAAACTTGCTTGCAATTCCACACACTAGTTTAATTTTGAATCACCATCTGTCTGTATACTTAAAATTTGAGGGCCAGAATTATCTGGATAATGTCAACTTTTCTCTCTCCCATTTTAACAGGCATCATTTACCACCCTCTCCCACCTCCCATTTTCCTCTCATCTTAGTTATACGTAGTGCCCCTGATGGACTCATGAGAAAAATATTATTACTAGTGATGGTTGCAAGAATTAAAAAATCAAGTCCTCACACATAAATCTACTTTTTGAAGCTTTTAAAAGATTACTTTAGCAGCCTAAAATTTAAAAAGAATCAAAGTATTTATATGGAAAGGTAATAAAAGGCAGTGTGATATGCAAAAAACACAACTTAGTGGTACGTTTAATGGAAGTATCTGTACAAAATGCACGGAGGACTAGTTTTATAATGCCTGGAATATTTGTATTCTGACGTATTTTTTAAATAGAAAGATGAAAGAAGGCTTTCAGATTCTGCTGCCAGCGAACCAAAAAATAAGACGGTATTTCCAATTCATCGTGTACATTACTTGTATGGATGACTGAAGCTTTTGAAAATTAAAATGCTTAATAAGCAAAGATTCATTTTTGCAGTTTATAAATAAATGGCCGGATATTTGATTTTTATTTACATTTTAACTAGAAACTTAATTTTACTCACAATGAAATATATATGTATATATATTATACATACACACACAACGATGGGTCACAGTAAATTATGCATATATCTGTATTTTTAAGCTACTCTCTGTTTTGAAATGGTATTGATCCTAGCAATAACACAAGACATTGTCTAAGTTCATTTTAGTCAAAATTAGTGTCTATGTGGAGAGAGAGAGATTTTAAGGAGGCATGGGAAATGCAGAAGCAGTGAGGTAGGAATGAAGGGAATTGTGATTTAAAATGTGCGCTTTAACATTTCACTTTCTTTATCTTAAATCCAACGTAGAAACAGGTTCAAGAGGAATTTGCAGACACATTCAAAGAGAACTGACAGTCAATAGAATATCTCTGTTCATTTCAGTTTCATAGAAACCAATGTGTTCCTACTTAAAAATCCCAGTCCCTGGTCTATTTGCAATGGCCTTCAGTCAATTTTATTTAATCTGACTTCTGGTTTCCATTTTTCTTCCAAGCCTTTCATGGTTAATAACTTTTTCAAGATTTGTAAGATGATGAACATTTGTCAGGTAGGTTTATCTGTTGAAAATCTATGATTCAGAAGTCCTCTTCCAAGCTGTTCTTAGCTTTACTCACCTGTGTCCTAATGAATCCTTTTGGCTGAAAACCTTTGCAAACACAATGATCAGACAACTCAAATGATGTGCCCTTCACTGGCTTCAGGCACTATAATCTATGTAGAAGTATTGAAAACCTTGCTTCTTTCTTTGACTTTAACTGCCTAACCTTACCCTGTCCTCCACTGCCAGATTAGGCCAGATCTGTTCTTTACTCAAAAAAACCCAATACTTACTGGATATCATCCAAGTGTCTAAAGTTCAAAGTATTTTACATCACTCTTCCCATCTCCCCTTCACCAGACTCTTACTCTGAGTCTCCATTTAAGATAAACAGATTTACTTGACAGACCTCCAAATATGCTCAGTATGGGCTCAGCACTGTCACTTAGCTCAGCATCCCCTTGTCTAGAATGACCCTTCCCTCTTCACCTCTTTTCAACCTGCTTCTTTGCCTGCTAAAATTCCACCGTCCTTTAAGGCCAACGGCAAATGTTAGCTCTTTCACAAACCTGTTCTTTTTTTTTTTGCGTACGCGGGTCTCTCACTGTTGTGGCCTCTCCCGCTGCGGAGCACAGGCTCCGGACGCTCAGGCTCAGTGGCCATGGCTCACGGGCCCAGCCGCTCCGCGGCATGTGGGATCCTCCCGGACCGGGGCACGAACCCGTGTCCCCTGCATCGGCAGGCAGACTCTCAACCACTGCGCCACCAGGGAAGCCCCCACAAACCTGTTCTTGATTCACCCAATAAGAATGATCTCCTCTTGGAGCAACTTTCTACTCCTCCAATACTCACAGTCAACCTTGTCTCATTGCTTAGTCATATACTCCTTCCTCTTAGATTCTAAGCTCCTGGAGGAACAACAGTTTATTCTTCTCTGTACAAACCAAAGTATCATGTACTGTGTCTTTCACACAGTAGGGGCTCAACCAATACTGACTGAATAAATAAACAATGGAAGTGTAGACAAGCTATTTATTTAGCTGAAAACTTTTACAGGAGATTCTGGTTCCATTTTGGAGAAACCCGGGTCAATGTCTAAATTATCTCAGTTGTGCCTCTCTAAACAGGGTATAGATTTATATATGCAAGTGCCATACTAGCATTTCTTAAGCAAAAAAAAAAAAGGTTTCTTTACATTAGTGTCTTCTTCAAAGAAGACAGAGATCATTCAAGACACCAGATTTTTCGCTTACTTTGAGGATCTTTTCAAAGAAAAATGGTACTTTGAAGCAGTAAACATGATACAGTCATCTGTTTGGGTTTTTTCCTACCAACTCAGCTAAGGGAAATCTTACTTCATATTGGCTGAATCACTGACAAGACTTTTAAACATAAAATGATTTGAGAAACAGAAAATGCAAAGCTGCCCATATTTTCACCACTGTGTGTACAGATTTTGAACAAATGTGATTAATAATTCACTTTTAAAAATTCAGTGGAACACCGGTAACCTAAGTGTCAGAAAACATGCCTAATATTCATATTATAAGATAACCATGCTCATATCATACTTTAAAGATGTGAGCGGATGTGAGGTAATCCATGGCTTATAGGGGCAATCTTTCAATTTACCTTTCTTCTTTCCATTCAGTCTTTCAACACATTAATTAAAATGTCTATTAAATGCCTGGCACTATACTAGCACAAAAATACATGGTGAGCTCATAAAGACATGGCTCTTGTGTAAATTTTACTTATATATAGTCCTTTTTTTACACAAAATGTAATAGTTTCTGAACTGAAGCCATCGTTTTTCCCTAAAACCAGCTCTTCTGCTTAGAGTTGTAAATTTTGCTAATAGCATCATTTCTCTCCCTTCCTTTGAAGCCTCAGAATCAGCAAGGCCCTCAATATTTGTCACACAAACTACTGCAGTATTCTTCCTATTATGTGTACTAACTTCAGTTTTTTATACTTTAAAGCATTACAAAATATCTTGGTTCAGCTTCTTACATTTATTACTTATCTAATTAAGGACGACTGACTCAAATTGACTCTTGAGGCAGTTATAAAATTGTCCCAAACTACTTTTCACATCTTAATATTTTTTGTAAAGCTACACCCAGCTTCATTCAAACTCAATTATTTACTATCTCAAACATATTCCACCAATTTCCTCTTCTGTATTCATTCAAGATATTCTTCTCTGTGACCTACTCTTCCTTCCCTACATAATCACAGAAATTATAACTTCCTTCAAGAAATATCTTAAGTAATAATTTCTCTATAAAGTCTTAAAGGATTCTCACAGATGTTTACAAATATCTACAAATAAGATGTTTTCAAAATACAAATATCATCATTTGTATTTTCTAAGGAACTCCCACATTCTGCTTCACTTTGTCTAATAGTCCCCTAGGCTACAGAATCCTAAGGCAGAGGTAGCTTTATTTACCAGTGTTCAGAGATGGTACTCAGAACTTTTATTTGCTTATTGGTATTTCTGATTACAAATCTTCTTCTGAATCCTACATATCTTCTAAGTCTTATACTGAAATATGGTAATAGCAACCAACATGGTTCCCATACCAAGCAGAAGACCAATAATAAAACCCAGTGAAGGAAAGGGACTCTGATCTGTGGTGCTTTGGGCTTGGGCCATCCACAGACTTTTCATCACATCTATGGATTTCTTTTAACTTGCTTCTTTACTTACTCTTCCATTTTTATGTTTTTCTCTCATTCTTCTACTTTCTCTATCACTCCATGTTAGGCAAGCAGTGATATTCTCTGGCATTTTGCTTATTTCTGCTAGTAGCAATCAAGGATTAAATTTTTCTCACTCCTGGGATATACTATAAAAAATGATAATTGCCTTTCTAGGCTATTGCTAATCTCTAAACTAACCTCCAAAGTTTGTGGAGAAAAATAAAATGAAGAGAATTCAAACTGAATTTCAGTGTTTATTTTTTAAACTCAAATGAGTTGTCAGTCAACTTAGGTGGCATAAAAAGGGGGAAAAAAAACCCAACCAAATAACTAAAGTTAATATAATGTGGTTTTGAATGTGAATGTATATATTGATATATAAATAAATTTATATCGATCGACTATATAAATTAAAAGAAAATGAAAATACTTCCACAGCTTTCTTAAGCACCTTTTCTTTCTAAGCTCTGTTCGCTTTCATGCAGTGAAAGCACGGAAATCATTTTCCATATTATCAAAAATGAAATAAAACTTGGAAAGAAAGCAGAGATGAATCTAAGCTGAAAATTATTATAACTACATTTTTTTCTGCAGAAAAGTTTTCCCAATAGCTATATTCTTTCTTAGGTTTTATTTATACCCATGACTTTGTGATATAAGACAATGGTTTTCCCAATAAATGTCCCTTTTGAAATATGGAGTAAATTAAAGATAGTAACTGTAGTGAAACTGTAGATAATTTAGAGTGAATGGGTAGAAAACCACTTACCCCCAGTTGCCACAGTGATTTCACGTAGGAAATGGCCATAAAATGGAAAATCGAAGGACAGATTCACTCTCTGCAAGGAACAACAACCAGAAAAGAAAATCAATAATGTGCATAATAGTAAATGTAAAATGAAGAGTCTTCTACCTAAAAAAAATGATGCTTCTACTTTGCACCACTATTATTGTAGTTGACTATTAGAACCTGAATCTTGGATGGAAAGAAAGATTTTTTCCCCTGGTAATTAAATGTTTAAAGTATGTGAAAAGAATAAAGTTTTGCTGTTGTGGTCTGTTGATCTGTTCTTCAGTTACAAGGGGAATCTAGAAGTTTCAACTCTGAATCAAGCTATTCTCTTTAACATCACCACTGCCTCTCAGTTGTCCACTACAAAGTAGGTCAGCCATCACAATAATCTTAGGGTTCTTTTTAGTTTGATTAATCTTCTCCAAAATAGTAGAGCATGTTATCTGTCAAGTTTCACTGAATTTAAAAATATATATATTTATTTTACAAAATTATATATTCAATTTATCTTCTGTACATCCCAGAACAAAAGGTAATTTTACGGAACAAGATATTTTGCACCTACAGATCTAGAGCTGCAGATATTTTTATTTTTAAGATACGATAAACTCCCCAGATTCAGTATACAGATGACCCCTAAACAACAAGAGTTTGAACTGCGTTGGCCAGTTACACTTATGAGGCACTTTTTTTCCAATAAATATAGTATCTGTGTTTTCATTTTACAGATCTTTAAATTATCAAAGTGTTGAGAAAACTTTGATTAGAGATCACAATATATGAAATCAAAAGAACTAGGGTCTGAGTCCTGATTCTATCCAGCCCTTGGGTGAGTCATTTGTCAATTTCCTTATTTTTGAGGCAGAGATACCAGTGTGTGGATTTTCAAATGTGCGGGGACTGGCAGCCCTAACCCCCAGTGTTGTTCAAGGGTCAACCGTTTTATGTCCACTTTTAAAAGCACAGAATCAAAGAATAAAAAATTCTGGTTACTAGAAAGCTACTTTTACTTTGTATAGAGGAAAACTGGAGAGACTTAGAAAGTTCATAAATTTTGCCCCTCTTTTTTCTAAAAAGGGATCTGAAGCTTTGGATATATATATTTATAATATATCTTTATATATATCTTTATATAGATAGATAGATAGTAAGATAAAAACAAGACACAACAAAGCAAAACAAAGAAAAAGAAACCCTAGATTTTGTGTATGTTTGAAATGATATGAACCAGATATATTATTATTAGGCAAGAAACAAGAAAAACAGGGAGCTATAACAAAGGTGGTTAGCTGAAATAAAAGGATCCATAGGGAAATTAATTGGCTGATTTAGAGCCTAATAGCATGTACAAACCACCTATAGTAAAAGGTTATTATGTTAAAATTCAACAATTTCTATATCTCTCCCAATATACAAATTTAAAATAATAGAGAATTATATATAGCTAGATTAAATTTAGCTCTTTCCAATTGTACAAATGATTGTTTTTTTATATCCATCAGAGATTTCTAATGACTTATTTGGCATGATATTAATCATTCAAAATTTACAGTGACTTTCAATTAGGTTTTTTTTCTTTCCTTTTTAATGAAAGCTGCATCTTCAGAAAGGGTTTATCTTCATTTTTATTTTATGCTGACTAATGGGAACAACAAAATATATTTTCACTGCACTAACTGAAATGAGTGGTTACTAATAACCCTAACATAAAAGCTTCAGTAGCAAAATCATATATTGCAAAGAAAAGGTCAGACATAATTTTATAAAGGCATTTGCTGTAGTACACTGTTCTCCATCATTCTAATTTATTTCCACGCTCATGTGCAAATCAGTAAAATTTACAGCCCTTTGGCATTCTCACTTCCAGAATAAGAGTTTGGTTTAAACTTCTATCACTAACATATCAAAGATGAGCCAGAGGAATATGACAATTTCTCAGCCACAACAAATGTTTAAATATTTTAGAATAAAATTGAGATAAACAAATATATAAGTTAAAGACTGTTTTTGAGAAGTAAATAAGTTCTCAAGGAAAAATTGCTGATATATTATCCTGAAGCACAACATCAATGACTGAAATGTTTCCCTGTTTAAATGACCAGATACCTTAGTTATCACCATGGCCTGCTTCACACTAATAATGGCAATGACAATTTAGAAAGGTGTTACCTTCTCAATAGTTGTGAAATCTACCCATTTCTCTCCAGGTACTACTAACACCCTTCCCCAAGTATAGATCACTTTTCTTTTTTGCGGTACGCGGGCCTCTCACTGCCGTGGCCTCTCCCGTTGTGGAGCACAGGCTCCGGACGCACAGGCCCAGCCTCCATGGCTCACGGGCCCAGCCGCTCCGCAGCACGTGGGATCCTCCCAGACCGGGGCACGAACCCAAGTACCCTGCATCGGCAGGCAGACCCCCAACCACTGCGCCACCAGGGAAGCCCAGCATAGATCACTCTTATCGTAATAACTTGCTCACAGGTGTCTTGGCTCCATTTTCCCTGGAATTCATTCTCCATACTGTCTAGCATATCACCGCCCCCCCCCCACTTCAAATCATTCAATCTAGAATCCCATTGACCCTGGAATCATGCCAAAATAGTGAAAACGAGTTCTAAGACCCACCACTAACTGGTCTCTCCTACCTTAAGATTCTCCCTTCATATTTTCTGTTCAGGCCAGCCTTCTAGTATAACTTTTAGTTCCTTGAAACTGCCACCCTTAACCCTGGGCTCTGGTACTTCAACATGATGTCTCTTCTGACTGTAATGGTCTCTCAACCTTGGCTGGTCATGGCTCCCATGTTCTTTAAGCCTTGGCTTAGTTTGGTTGGTACTCCAAACCTGACTTGGAGTAGATAATTTGTTTGGAAGGTGATCCTAGGAAGCATTTGCTAAAGGAGGTGGGAAAAGTGAGACAAGGAAAAGAGAAAAACTAGTAACAGCTATTGGATGTGTTACCACTATAGCCAGGTCTCCCCTTGGAGACCTTCTGAGAAAGAGTGGGGGCAAAATATGCCTCAGAATCATCTCATTGGAGGTTAGGAGGCTGGGCTACTTATCCATCAACTTCTATCTCCTGTCGATCAAAGGTGCTCCTGTGCACAGATGAATCCCCCCTTCCCCAGGATTACCCTTGCTTACCCTCAGGCAGAAAGAAGAGCCACAGCACTTGATCTGAGGAGTTGCTAGTATATTAGAAGCTGCCTCCCACAGCTTCAAGTGAACTCAGGGAGGCAGAAGGGATATGGGGCAAAGCATCAAGAGGCACCGCGAAGTGTCACATCCTCAGAGTCCTACCGTGACTTCTTAGCCCAAGTTAGACTTCCTACTGTATCTCACCTAGCATTCTCTCTATATACATGCACACGTGAAACAACCACATGGGGTTCAGATTTTAACTGCTTCAGAATGAAACTCAGCATCAGGGTGGTTAAGAATGGCCCCAGTGGGAAACCAAAATTTAAACCCAGATTTGAAAGACAACAAAGGCAACGCTCTTAATTACTGAGCTATTGAAAATAAAGTGATAAGAAGTGTCACACTTAAAGGCAAATTTTTGAAAATTATCATCCCTCCTTAAAACACATACAAACACAGACACACACACACACACTCAAACACACACACACACACACACACAAACTACTGAAACATAAAAATCATTAAGCACTAGAATTTCATGAAGGGCTTTAAGCTAATTTATTATATATTCAGTATAATTACCCTCTGGGTAATTGGATCATTATTTTATCTCAGTATGGTATATAAAACAGGCATGGGCGGGGAGCTAAAGGAAAGTTTTATTTGTTCATTCATTCATTCATGCAGTCAGAAATCATTTATTCAACACCTTATATGTACCGGGCACTTAATCAGGGTCTGAGCATCATACAGTAAGTCCCACCCAGTTTCTTCCTTCAAGGAGTTCAGAAGATGGTGCAGGAGAGCAACATGGAAGGATAAACAAGTAGGACCAGGCAGGGTCAGAGTAAGGACCCAGAGAGAACACCTAACCCAGAGGAGATGGCATTGAAACTCTTTAAAAGGAATCACCAGAAGCTAGCCAGATGAGACCTGAAGGCATGGGAGTGGAAGGGATTGTGAAAATATATGTAGAAAGTAAAACTGGAAGGATCGTGATTAATTGTACATAAAAGCTGGGAGCGGGGAAGAGCTGTCTAGAATGTAGGACAGGTTTCTAGCTGGGTGACTGGTGGACCATAATCCACCAACTGAATTGATGAATACAGGAAGAAGAGCTATTTTGGTTAGGTGTGAGAAGGCTTGCTGTGTCACTAATTAATTACATATCCTTTAACTATATAATTAAAAAAAAACCCCAAATTATAAATGCCACAAAGGACCCTTCTGAAATCAAAAAGGCTAACAGAACCCTGGACATTGTCACAAAAAGCCACTGTAAACAAAAAAAGAAACGTAATTTTGAAATTTAGTTGACTTAATTGATGTACATGACAGAAATGAATGTTTTCCTATCTTGGATCTCATCCCATAAGAAATATCTAATGTAAAAGGAAGAAGCATTTCGGAAAATTGTCATGTGAAGGCACAATAAATTAATTAACAGGGCGAAATATAAAATGAAAACTCAGAAGTGAAATTTTAACAAGCATGTGTGGCATAAATAAAATCAATTGAATTTGCTAATTCCTTACCCTCTGCAGAAAGGAGGGGTATCATAATTTTGAGACAAGCATAGGAAGTATCACAGGGGGGAGAAGAAATTTATGAAGCATGTTTTGAAAAGTTTGCAGAAGCATATAGATAGGTTCTAGGTGGTCTGTTGCAAATTTATGGCAGGTACAGCCATGTATGACTGTGACTTTTAAAACCACATCATGCTCCCTCACAACTATGCCCCGCGGAACCACTGCTGGGAACAGACTATCAGAGGCAATTAGGGCCATACTCAGAGATCTCTAAGTGTGTCCCCACCTCTTACTGCCTCTTTTACATATTTTTCTTATGCCTATCGCCATCTGGCTTCTGACTAATTATTATGATCTCTGCTAATTCTTTCTTA